AGATGCTGTTTTGGGTAGTAAACAACACGTACAGATGCTGTTTTGGGCAGTAAACAACACGTACAGATGCTGTTTTGGGTAGTAAACAACACGTACAGATGCTGTTTTGGGGCAGTAAACAACACGTACAGATGCTGTTTTGGGTAGTAAACAACACGTACAGATGCTGTTTTGGGGCAGTAAACAACACGTACAAATGCTGTTTTGGGCATCAAGCAGTCAGATGTTTTGTTCTCTTCATGTATCTGAAACTTTCAAAAACGTCCACCAACAGTGGAAACAGCATGCGTTCGTCTTTCGCCTGATGAAATCGAATCGTGCATTCCACACGAAGAAAATTCCACTGGAGACTGGAGAAGGAAAAAACTGATTCCCTCCGTCATTTGACGTTCAAGACATAAACCCAATGGAGAAATCTAATTACGTTTTAGACTGTAGTGCATTTTTTTACGGCAGACGGTCATGTTTTCGAAAAAGTGTGGGATTTACGATTTTCATTATATTCGAATCTCGCCTGATGCGGTGGAATTCACGATTTCATCAGTAGGCTTAATTAATGAAACGGTTATTAGGCAGCGTGCTTTCACTTATTAGAGGCCCTGGTATGTTTAAAAGTAGGCTATATGTAAGCACGAAATATTGTTATACAAAAAAAATTAAAACTGAGTATGAAATTACGGACTGAGTGAGCCAGAAAGCTATTCATTATTTTACCACTATAAACATCTCTCGTTCTTACATGAATGGGATACACTGGGTGACGCCGGTCTCGCATCCAACGAGGTTACCGGCGGGACCGGCTTGTTGTCCTCGTTGGATCCGACCCCTCGTTGAACGTGACTGAGGCGAAAGTAAAGAAAGGAGATTTACACGATGTAGGCTACCAATACCAGAAATTAAAAAGTTGTTCCCCCTGATGACGAAAGTCTCAAACAGCATCAGTGTGCGCGTGTTTGAGCTGTGCTCTGACCGTCATTTCTGCATTTTAAAATATGTTTTTCCGGGAACACTTGTCGTGTGGAAACATACCGCCTCACATCTGTTGTACAGAAATCAGGATGTAACATTACAAGTTCCCACTTTCAGTATTCCATAAGGAGTAGGCCAACTGTAATGGTCGTTGAGAGCAAGAAAAGAGCAACACACTCACACAGACACACACCAGATAAAACAACAAAGGTGTCTAGCCTACGGTAACACACTCACACAGACACACACCAGATAAAACAACAAAGGTGTCTAGCCTACGGTAACACACTCACACAGACACACACCAGATAAAACAGCAAAGGTGTCTAG